TATATAGATATATAGATACATAGATAGAATGTATCTATAGACATACATTCTAAATAAAAATACATTTAAATATGAAAATTTGGAAGAAAATAATTCACAAGTTACAATTTCAGGGCAACTTTCACATTAATATTATGCAGGGTGAAGACATGGCTAGGAAATAGACCAATTTATGCACCTGTAGCAACAGCTTCTAGCATATCAAGTAAGCCATTTTGAGCAGGCCCTTTCAACTTAAATAGGAGTCAAACAAACTGTAGACTTCCCTTTATTATTTTATAATGTAATATATTCCGCTTTCATTTTTAGGTCCAACCTCTTTCTATATGCAGTGATAGTTGTCATCCCGGTTTCAGCAAAAAAGTGAAGGAAGGAGAGCCATTTTGCTGCTATGACTGCATCCCCTGCCCAGAAGGAAGGATTTCAACTGAGTATGGTAATCATTTCCTCCTGTTTCTTCTAAATAAATTCAAGCAATAAAAAGAATAGTGTAATGTAATGAGTAGATTCAAGTAGTAGTGGGGTACAGTTTATTGAGAAAGCATTTTTAGGATGTGAGGATTAACAACTTCTATTTACTGGAATATTCAGACATAACTCACTATGCATTAACAACCAAGATTACCTAATTTTTTAAAAATAATGAAGTTGCTAACTTTTCTTACAGATCTAACAGGTGTCATCAAAGCATCTATGAAATATTATTGCCAACTTTTGGCAATCTCTGAACACTTTTTTGATCAGCTTTCCTCAACTTTTTCTCTTCTGGATGCCTTCAGCATCACTGAAGTAATTTTGAAGGGAACAGAAGGGCCCTTAGATTAGAAGGGGCATCTACTTACAAAATAACAATATCAGAGCATAATTACTGATTTCATCCTGATTTAAATTCAGATTTCACCCTTTAAAAAAAGCTCCTGAAAACTTTAGTTCATATTTTATTTAATAAAAGAGCTTCCTGATAAATTGTCAAATGAAGCCCTCATTTATATATGAAACTATCCGTTGAGGACTGCTATGACATCTTTGATCATAAGATATAAAATAGCTTCATCTATATATTATGATTCACCATTTACAAATTTGTATCAAATTTGAATCTCAGAACTATAAAGTTACAATTAGATTAACATAAGTAAATAGATCTTGTTGGAAATGTGAAGAATAGGATATGGCATCATTTATTAACTTAATATCCAACATGATAAGAAATATTAAATATAATATTCAAGTTCCACATACTGTTAATAATTTTAAGGTGATAAATATTTAAATTTATTAAAGCAACTTATTGTTGCACCTTTATCACACCCTTTGTCTCTCATATTCTGAGGTTCTAATCTGAATATTAAATACAATCTGCAAAAGTTAGAATGTCATATTGAGTCTCATACAAAGCACAATTATATGACATCTGTAGGCTTCCTATATATATTAATCAAAATTGCTGCCTAATATTGTAGGCAGTAATATGATAATACACTGGTCAAATTTAGGATATGCATGTGATACTAATATTATACCACTTCTTCTTTTTTAGACAAAAATGAATGTTTTAGATGTCAAGACAAATATTATCCAAACAAGGGACAGGATTTCTGTATTCCCAAGATTATAAGTTTCTTGACTTATGAAGAACCTTTAGGGATCAGTTTAGCATCTCTTGCACTTATCTTTTCTTTAAACACAGTCCTTATACTAGGAGCATTTATGAGGAACCACAACACTCCCATTGTCAAAGCCAACAACCGAAGCCTGACCTACATGCTCCTCATCTCCCTCCTGCTCTGCTTCATTTCAGCATTGCTATTCATTGGCAAACCGGGAAAAGTGACCTGTCTTCTCCGACAAACAGCTTTTGGCATCATCTTCTCAGTGGCTGTTTCTTCTGTCTTGGCAAAAACCATCATGGTGGTTCTGGCTTTTATAGCCACCAAACCAGGATCCAAGATGAGGAAGTGGGTAGGGAAAAAATTGACCAATTCCATTGTTGCTTCTTGTTCCCTCATCCAAGTAGGCATTTGTACTCTGTGGCTGACAATGGCTCCCCCATTCCCAGATGTTGATATCATCTCAGTGACTGAAGAAATTATCCTGCAATGTAATGAAGGCTCTGTGACCATGTTTTATTGTGTGCTTGGCTATATGGGCTTCCTGGCACTTATCAGATTCACCACAGCTTTTCTTGCCAGGAAATTACCTAACAGTTTCAATGAAGCCAAGTTCATCACCTTCAGCATGTTGGTCTTTTGCAGTGTTTGGTTGTCCTTTG